TATTAGTCAAAGGTTTGGCTTTGGGACTAAGGGCAAGGTGGCAAACGACGTCGTCGAGCCAAGACTCGGCAAGGGAAAACTATCAGTCCAAGGTTTGGCTTTGGGACTAAGGGCAAGGTTGGAAACGACGTCGTCTAAGCCAAGCGAGTGTTCCGAGGGTTGGCATTGGGACTAAAAGGTTGGATACGTGTATGGCGCGAGGAATCTGCCAAGGCAAGACCTGGAGAAATTTGAGTTGACCGTGGGGTCTACCCCAGCATTTACCGCGAAACGCGCCGATCGCCATTGAAATTTGCTTAGCGGAGGGGAAACCCGACGCGCAAAGGCAAAATTGTCTACGGGAAGCTGTTTCACAAGGATTCTGTTCTACGAGCTAATTGGCCCGGGAGGCTACAGCCCAGGTTGGTCAGCCCGGGAGACTCGGCAGGCTCTTGGGAAGCTCCAGAGAGCCATTTAGACAGCCCGGGAGGCACCAGAGGCCCCAAAGGCCCCGCAGGCTCCTGGGAGGCTCCAGAGAGCCATTTGGACAGCCCGGGAAAATCCAGAGACTTGTCTGGTTGGGAAACGACGCGCCTCGACCCAAAGGGTCGCGGGGCGGCGCCCTGCCTCCCTGGTGCCTCCCAGGCTGTCCAAATCATCCTTTCCTCCCTCCCTCGTCGGGATTACCTTTAACAGCCCTTGGTTCCTGCCTCCCTGGTGCCTCGCAGGGTGTCCAATTAGTCCTTTCCTGCCTCCCTGGTGCCTCCCAAGCTGTCTTTCAAGACCCTTTCGTAGCACAGGCTTGCCGGTCGAATCCCGATTCTCGACAGGCGCCCGATTTTGTCTAACTTTAATACAATTTCAATGCCGATCGGCCCGGTTCGCGACAAATCCTAGGGTGGCTCCACGGCCGGTTGTCCAGCCTGGAAGATCTGTGACAATTAGTCCTTTCCTGCCTCCCTGGCTATCCAAATGGTCCTTTCCTGCCTCCCTAGTGCCTCCCAGGCTGTCCAAATGGTCCTTTCCTACCATTCTGGTGCCTCCCTGCGGGACGATGCCGACCGGCCCGGTTCGCCAGCAGCTCCTTTGACCGGCCCGTGGCCTGAAGCTTGCTTCGCAGTGCCTTCGTGGGGTCCTCTGGAGTGCGGAATCCTTATCTCGAGACTAATTTGAAGGAGCCAGCAGCTCCTTCCTTTTAGCTCTGGGATGAGGAATCCTTATCTCGGACTAATTTGAAGGAGCCAGCAGCTCCTTCTCTTTAGCTCTGGGATGAGGAATCCTTATCTCGGGACTAATTTGCAGGAGCCAGCAACCCCTTCAGCTCTAGAATGAGAAATCCTTATCTCGGGACTAGTTTGGAGGAGCCAGCAGCTACTTCGCTTTAGCTCTGAGATGAGGAGTCCTTATCTCGGGACAAATTTGAAGGAGCCAGCAGCTTCCTCGCTTTAACGCTGGGATGAGGAATCCTTATCTCGGGACTAATTTGAAGGAGCCAGCAGCTCCTTCGCTTTAGCTTTGGGATGCGGAATCTTTATCTCGGGGCTAATTTGAAGGAGCCAGCAGCTCCTTCTCTTTAGCTCTGGGATGAGGAATCCTTATTTGAAGGAGCCAGCAGCCCCTTCAACTCTGGAATGAGGAATCCTTATCTCGGGATTAATTTGGAGGAGCCAGCAGCTGCTTCGCTTTAGCTCTGAGATGAGGAATCCTTGTCTCGGGACCAATTTGAAGGAGCCAGCAGCTCCTTCGCTTTAACGCTGGGATGAGGAATCCTTATCTCGGCCAGTGCCCACCCCTGAAAGGCACGATCCCCAATGTGCTTCTCTGAGCCGCGGAGCGGGTACATACCCTCGACTTCGTCCAACGAC